CTCTTGGGCTACTCTTTTACCAATGAATAGTGGGATTGAGTGTCACATTATAACTCCCTCACGGCTGAAAGATCAAGCATCTTTGGTGGGATGGGGATTTGAACCCACAACCCTCTGTGTATAAGTTCATAATTTTTGTTAAGAATGTGTTTTGATGCACTTACTTTAGTATTTCTTGATACATTGAGGGAAATTGTCTTTGCAGTGGGCCGTCATACAAACCTGAATAGCACATGTGTAAGGCCTATATACTTATCAGCTCTATTACTAATAGTATTAGTAGAACTGCATTTTAATATGCTCAGTTATTTGCAACTTACTGAACTTAAAATTAGTTTAAAAATACCTAAAATATCACCATACACTGATGAAATCCCCGCCTTTTTTAATTATGGGGACTTACTAATGAAGATATCAGTACTATAGAAAACCTTACATTTAAACTGCATTCAGTATCCTCTTAGAAATTGGAATCACTTTTCTGAGCTATGAGGGAGCATGTGACGGTGATGTACATTTCATCTAAAGTTTTTATTGTAAACTTATGTATAAAGTTTAGTACTCAAGTCTAATAAGCTAATAACACTTTGGCTTTTCTCTGCACCACTCAGTGAAACATGCTTTGCAAGTACAGGTAAACATTTTAAAATAGCAATAGCATTAGCAGGTTAGAGTTTAGAAATTATGATTGACAATGAGATTCAATGTTATTAATATAACTTTGAAACATACACATTAACCCTTACCATGTTATATATCTCGAAATATTTTGTCAGCCAATCTGGTATTAACGAACTTTTTCAATTAATAAAATCAAACAGTCTGAACACTTATTCTCAAATCTAGCTACACACGACTTCTTCCCCACTAGCCTTCTATTCTACACAATACTACCAATAGTATGCTACCACATGGTTTAATTAACTTTACGCATGCGTAATATTTTATTTCCATAAATTATTATAAAAACACATTTTCTCAAAATAAACTAGCTAAAACTGTGAAACATAATAATAATATGATAAATGTGTTCTATAGTGACCTATTATTTCCAAGGAGATATATATTATATAATTATATTATACATATGTTAGCCACGTGACCTGGCTTGGGATCTTCGAACAAATATTCTAGAAACTTCGACCGTAGTACATGTATATATATATATCCCCCAGTGGTTAAACGGTAAGTCTGAAGATTTATAACGTTAAGAACAGGGTTTCGATACCTATCGAAAGCACAGGAAAGATAATTCACTGTATAGCGTGATAACAAACAAATAAGAGAGTGAATAACGTAATAAATAATTGTTGTATTTCTTAATAAAAACTAATGTATACGATTATACTCAAATATATAGATATCTTTGTATGGAATTTTAAATTTACTTACATTTCTTGTTGTGAATATAATTAATTTGTTTGTTTGTAATTAAGCACAAAGCAACACAGTGGGCTATCTGTGCTCTGCCCACCACGGGTATCGAAACCCGGATTCTAGTGTTGTAAGTCCGCAAAAAAAACGCTGTGCCACTGGGGGGGGGGCTATAATTAATTTAAAATGCTCGCAATGTTTGCTATAATTACATAAAGCTCGCACTAGGCTGAAACGTATGCGATCACATGTTCTGAAGTGCTGTTATATGTGTATTTCACCACTGATTTATGAAAAAGCATAAAAAGATGTATATCTTAATCGTGAATAACTCCCTTTGTAAGCTGATATGTTTGTTAAATAGATTTAATATTGTGCTACATAGCTAATCAAGAGTTTTCACTTTTTAACTTTTTAGTAAGTTTTTTTTTTTTTTTTTACTTTCTTAGTGCAAAGCTACAGAATGGATTATTTGCATCCTATCCACCTGGAGGAATCGAACTCCGAATTTTAGCGTTGTAAGTCTGTAAACTGGATATAATATTTTAAAGGCTATATTCACATTAAATATTTAAATCGTCAGTAATTGTTCTATTGTAATGATCAAAGTGTCACATTTCCTGCTTAAATGCACCAGAATTCATCTGTTTATTTAAAAGACATAAAAAGCAGAACAGAATGAGATGTTTCTAAATATGTTCATCCATAAGCTTCTCTTAAATAGTCCTAAATACCAGGTCATCAATACAAAGTCTGGCAGACGATTCGCAGGCTTAATAGTGTTGTAATTTCTTCTGTCATTGAGTAAGTTTTTTATTATTATTATTATTATTTGGGCAAAATAATGCCAAATTCAGTCCACCTAACAATGATAAATTAATCTATTTTATCAATTATATTTGCTACAGGCTACGTTCACCTTGACTCAAGTTGTAGGTCTCAGATTACAAATAACAATTCATGGAAAATACCTGCCACCTAACATACTTGTCATTTCAGCTGCGGGAGCGTTATATTGTGATGATCAATCCCACTATTCGTTGGTAAAGAGTAGTTTAAGAACTAGCGGTCAGCAGTGTTGACTAAATTCCTTCTATCACTTCTAAATTAGGAACGGCTAACACAAATAGCTCTTGAGTAGCTTTGAGCAAAATTCAACAAACAAACAATTAATTGTATAAGTATTTTCAAATGTTTTTACACAATTATTAAAAGCTGGATTTTTAACTGAAAGAAATTAAAAACAACAAAACTTATTATAGTTATTTTAAATATATCAGTTTATAAAAGAAAAGTTGTCATTTTACGTTCATATTGTTACGATGCTGGTAATACGTCATGAGTTTCTAAAAGGATCATGATTGCTCCTGGCAACTCTTATGTTTGCCAGACGCCATCTATTTTTGTATATAAGCTCGGCAAATAAAGCGGAGATATAATTGCAGATAGACAGATATAGAGACAGATAATTGAGTCAAGTGGGTGGTAGTGACGGTAATATAAAGTGTGTTTTGTTATCGAGATTGCAAACGTATTGACTGTGGAAATTTTGTATATTACAAAGTTTGTATCGAGAAAGAACAAACTAGTTTTAATTAAGAAAGGACTTGTATCGCTGAAGTTTCTCGGAAAGAATTTCTACGGGAAATTAACATACTGTTTCGTCTCTGGTCGTTAGTTAATTTTCCGTAAAAATTCTTTTCGAAGAAACTTTAGCGATACAAGTCCTTTCTTAAATAAAACTGGTTTATTTTTTCTGAATACAACTTTGCAATATACTTAATTTTCACAGTCACGCTATAACAAACGTTATAATTCACAACAAACGACTCACGTGCTCGACTCAATTGTCAGTCTCTATCTCTGTCTGCAGTTCATTTACATTGTTGCCCTCACTTCTTGGCGGTCTTATATACAAGAATACCGCACATCTAGTAAACACTCGAGGCTTCACGAAGGGGCATGATTTTTCTAGAAGCTCATGACATGTTACTAGCGCCACGTGATTTCCGCTGTCGTAACAATACGAACAGAGACGCAACAATATATTATACCAGAGTACCACTTTGTTTACAAATGATGTAAAAGTACATAAATAAATGTTCGATTTTTATATACTTAATCCAACTTCAAATGCATAGTTTTTTTCTTTCTTTTTGCACCTCGGTGGCTCAGCGGTATGTCTGAGGACATAAAACTGTAAAACTAGGTTTTGATGTCCGTGGTGGGCAGAGAAAAGATAGCCCATGGTGTAGCTTTGCCCTTAACAACAAACAAACAAACTGTTACTTGTAATCCAGTACCACCCCGTTCCCTGTGACTTAGCTGGAAGTCTGAGGGTTTATAACTCTAAAAATCGGGTTTCAATACCCACGGTTAGCATAGCATTGATAGTCCACCGTGGAACTTCGTGCTTAACAAGAAATAAGAATAAGCCGATGCCTAGAGTGATGAAGCCCCACGTTTTAAAGTAAGCCTGTAGCTAGAGTGATAAAGCCCCACATTTTAAAGTAAGCCAGTGCTTAGAGTGATGAAGCCCCACATTTTAAAGTAAGCCAGTGTTTAGAGTGATGAAGCCCACATTTTAAAGTAAGCCAGTGCCTAGAGTGATGAAGACCCACATTTTAAAGTAAGCCAGTGCCTAGAGTGATGAAGCCCACATTTTAAAGTAAGCCAGTGCCTAGAGTGATGAAGCCCCACATTTTAAAGTACGCCAGTACCATGAAGCCCCACATTTTAAAGTAAGCCAGTGTCTAGAGTGATGACGCTCCACATTTGTAAATAAGCCTTTGACTCTAGTGATGAAGCCCCACATTTTAAAGTAAGCCAGTGCCTAGAGTGATGAAGCCCCACATTTTAAAGTAAGCCTGTAGCTAGAGTGATGAAGCCCCACATTTTAAAGTAAGCCTGTAGCTAGAGTGATGAAGCCCCACATTTTTAAGTAAGCCAGTGTCTAGTGTGATGAAGCACCACATTTTAAAAGTAAGCCAGTGCCTAGAGTGATGAAGCCCCACATTTTAAAGTAAGCCAGTGCCTAGAGTGATGATACTTTTGCACACTTAACTTCTTTTCAACAGGTTGCATACAATGGTCTTAATGTAGAGTTGTAAGCTATATTTTCAATGTTTTATTTAGTTGTTTGCTAACGGGAACTGCTAAAATCACGATGACACTAGGCTTAGGAAGTTTCTGAAAATATTCCTAGAATACCTAGAACTTTCGTGAATGTTAATGGTCGAGAGAATTTATTAAATACCAAAATCAGTGAAGCATTGAGTCAGTGTTCGGTTCTAATAGTAACTGAGGAGTTATTGAAGTTGCCTTATGTCACATTCAGACGCATAGACCACTGCCTGGCATCATCTCTACTTGCTCCATTCCTCTGAAAAGGTAGCTCCGAGTTCGTGGAGAATCACAAGTTGAACAGAGTTGGTCGAAACAGCACAGCGGAGGGAATTTCAGATACGCTCTGTTGAATTCATGTTTGTTTGTTTGTAGGTGAGCACAAAGCTACACAATGGACTACCTGTGCTCTGCCCACCACGGGTATCGAAACCCAGTTTCTAGCATTATAAGTTCGTAGACATACCGCTGTGCCACTAGGGGCATTCATGTTTGTAGATCGAGCAGGCCGCTCCAAAGAGACCGGTAGTCTTCATCTGAAGTAACTCATTCGAGACCCAAACATAGTACGGGCACAGTGGATAATATTGTCATTCACATGGACTAAGTCACCATCAGTCAGGGCTTGAGTTGAAGGGAAGCGAACCAGAATGCTGTTCCTGTTGTAAAAATATTCCAGTTGTTAGAACTTTTTATAAAAATGTTCCTCTTGTAAAATGTCCAAGGACATACGTAAATTTAAAGATAAGTTATCACAATCTCACCAATTCATATCGTTTATGCAAGTCTATTCATTGTAGGCCTTCTTTGCGACATGTGAGTCTTCGACTTATGAGTTACTTTTCTGTGTCTACATACATTGTGACGTCATCAAATAATCGAAATAAGAGACTCTAGTGGCCCCCGGACGCCCCTCCTCATAGAACTGTGAAACTGAGTTCGACTTAATAACTTTACATAGCTAAAGCTCTGCCATCAGTGGTGTCGAAGTACGATCTTACGTAGATGTCTAGGACCTGTGCTACATAGCTATCAATGAGCAGTTCTAGGACACAGAAAAAGCTAATGTTACCTGAGAACACGATGTACATACAACCCTAACGTTTATGTTGACATATGTCACTGTTTTAATAGTTTTCTTAAGGTCATTTCCAAACTCCGTGAAGTGAGGATACATTCTGAACTCACTTATGAAGAGCATGCCTAATCCCAATTGGTTGTAGCCAGGAAATCGTCTTGAATCCAATCTCAACAGTTTTGCTGTGACACTATATCAACGAGATCATAATACAAGCTTTCTGTGATCACAAACCAGCCTCATTGAGTCTAGATGTGGGCAAGTTGGGTTGATGCAAATAACTCCAGAATTCTAAATGGTCAGAAAGTAGTCTTATTCTATTTTCCGGCAACCCCATGCTTTACTTTTACATTTACGCGGATTTTGTGTCGCTTCCAAGCATGGAAAAATAACAAATTGGCTTACAAATAAAGTAGAAGCAGTTTAACGTTGAGTCATTCAGCTTATAGCATACCGAAATCACGTTACAATCTCTCAATGTTTGGTCCACTATGATGCAAACTGTGAGTATTCGAACATTAAAAGTAATAGAAAATAAAGCACGCAGTACAGAGCGTTCCATTTGGTAAAAACTATTTTAAATCAAGGGTATTAATTTTACACTAGTGATAGTAAGCTATAAATGATCCACTCTCACTCATCACTTGAACCTTAAGCCTTCCGCTTGCCATACCTTCAGAGGTTTGAAAACAATCAACAACGGATATTCATTAGCACTGAGAAACACTGATCCATAGAAAATGTTAAGTTTTATGTCACTTGTAACCGATTAGATTTAAGATATCAAACTCTCCGATTTCTGTGTTTGTGATAACCTTGGATTTAACAGTTTTAAGTAAAGTATAATCTCAAATAAAAAGTGAAAGAATTAAATCAAAGTATTAGAATGAAATGTGAATGAAGAAGTTAAAGCTTAAATGTATAAACACTTTTCTCAGCAGTAGTTTTTATAACACACGAGATTTCCTGTTTGTTTGTTTTGTATTTCGTGCAAAGCTACATGAGGGCTATCTGCGCCAGCCGTCCCTAATTTAGCAGTGTAAGACTAGAGGGAAGGCAGCTAGTCATCACCACTAACCGCCAACTCTTGGACTACTCTTTTACCAACGAATAGTGGGATTGACCGTTACATTATAACGCCCCCACGGCTAAAAGGGCGAGCATATTTGGTGGGACGGGGATTCGAATCCGCGACGAGATTTCCTTCGAGCCTACTTTTACTTTCCCCGTGTTTTTTTTTCTCTGTCTGTTTGTTTTTTAATTATGCACAAAGCTACACAAGGGCTATCTGTGGTCTGCCCACCGCGGGTATCGAAACCCGGTTTCTAGCGTTGTAAGTCCGCAGACATACCGCTGTGCCACTGGGAGGCTTTTCTCTGTCTATGGCAAGCTTTTCCGATGAGAAAGTGTAAAACGAGATTGTTACCATTGTCCAAATTATCCGTACCTGTGTACATACGATATCAAATGTGTATTCATCTGATTATTTCGATATGTTGCCCTGCATAAAATTTATAATATTTCGAAATCTTCTAAACACATATCTGCAACCATGATATTGTAGGATTTGTTAAAATTGTTTCTGCTGACAATGTGGCAACAAATGGATAATTCGGAGCCTATCAAAGTGAAATAACATACGCTATAAGGCCTAATCTTTACATCATTCAAAACACAGGTGGCTCGTAGTGGTTGATATAGCAAAGACATTTTTGGAACATTATTGTAAGTTCACTGTTTTTAACGAATTCAATATAAATTACAATCATATTATGTAATGTCCAATCTGTTTTTATTTGAATGAATTTGTTTCTTCATGGTTAGTAGAGTAAATAAGTGTTATTCGTTTTTTGCAATAAAATGAAGAGTAGATTAAACAGTAAGCTGTTTGTATATTTGAAATATTAACAGAAAATAGTCATAGTCTGTTTGAATGCCATCTACCCTTGGTATGTCTTCAGGGGTAGATGGCATTCAATCTTGTTGAGTTCTTAGCTGTACTTAGTGCCATTGGTCGACCATCTATGAGGACCAACTTACATCTGTCTGGTAATTCACGTTATTCAAAGCTGACTACTGATGGCATTCAATCTTGTTGAGTTCTTAGCTGTGTTTAGTGCCATTGGTCGACCATCTGTGAGGACCAACTTACATCTGTCTGGTAATTCACGTTATTCAGAGCTGACTACTGATGGCATTCAATCTTGTTGAGTTCTTAGCTGTGTTTAGTGCCATTGGTCGACTATCTATGAGGACAAACTTACATCTGTCTGGTAATTCACGTTATTCAGAGCTGACTACTGATGGCATTCAATCTTGTTGAGTTCTTAGCTGTGCTTAGTGCCATTGGTCGACCATCTGTGAGGACCAACTTACATCTGTCTGGTAATTCACGTTATTCAGAGCTGACTACTGATGGCCCTTCACATAGCGCGAAAGTTTCAGATTTTTCTCGTGTTTCATATATGAAGAAAACATGTTATTCCTGTGATACTGGGGGTTGAGGGGTGGGGAGGGTACACAGGTGTACCTATTACGGCCGGGGTCCAGGGCTCACTTTAGGGCCCTTGAAGCATTTTCCTTCTTTTCCTGAGAGTATTTTTTCTAATTATCTGATACATTGTTACTGGGAAGATTGAAAAGTGGGGCAGGCCCCCTGCTTCTTACGCCACTGAATTTACCCATTTAGCATCACCATAGATTCACGACCCACACGTATCCTTCATGTTGATGGTTAGTAAACGTGACAACTGCCAGTAGCTTGTACACATTATTTCAGACTTATACTTGTTCATTTACATGACTCATGTCTGGTCAGTGGGACTACACATAAACATTACCGAGTTTGATAAGTTAGGTTTTCCAAGTGTTTCATTTTATATACGAGTTTATTCCTGCGGACAGTAACACACACTGATATCTTACATGCTATGTGGTTTGGTGTGTATAAAGTCCTCCTTTATCTTCAACTTTTGTGTTTCATGACTGGTGACGACACTACAGCTAGACACGTTTAATTTTACTAACGTTTAACATGATAAACTTAGTATCTGATACCAAGTCGATTTGTGTGTTTTGCATCTGACATTTTGTACTTTACACCAGTCCTCTATTGGGTCAGCAGTAAGATGACGGACTTAAAACACTAAACTCCGGGGTTCGATTCCTCGCCTCAGAGAGGCCCTTGTGCTAAAACAACAGCTTCACACCAACTGTACTTCACCAAAGTTTTCTATGAAAGAGACACTATTTTCAACGAATGAGCAGTTAGTTCATTTGACCAGTGGCATTCTCTGTCACTGCCTTTTTAAGATCAGGTTGAAGTCACCTTACTTGTAATTCACACTTCTCTGTTGTGTGTACTGTGAAACACCTGTAATTCACACTTCTATGTTGTGTGTACTGTGGAAAAATTGTAATTCACACTTCTCTGTTGTGTGAACTGTGAAACACCTGTAATTTACACTTCTCCGAACTAGAGCAAATTTTATATTCGAATGTCTGTTCTGTGGAAAGTTTTCTTCCATTCTTCTTTGTATAAAGAAAGATTTCTTCCATACTTCTTTGTATAAAGAAAGCCTGCCACCCATTCTTCTTTGAACCGTGGCAACCCTGAAATTCACATATTCTTGAACCAAAGGAAACTTGGAATAAAACGTCTTAGTATTGTGAATAACGTGCTATTTACATCCCTGTGTTTCGCGAAAATTTTACTACCTTTAGTCTTTTGGATAGCTTTATATTTAATATCAGTGGTTCCAAATCTAAAATAACTCATCCTTTCTTTATACTCTACAGTCTGTTTGAATTTTGTAGTTGATTGTGGATTTATTCTAGACATTTGCAGCATTGTCGAACATATTTATTTGAACTTTTGTATGTAAGTTGAAACTTTAAAAGACTAAATCAGCATTAAAAATAAGAGGAAGAACTTTGACAGTCAGTCAGTTAACCATAGTCATATATTTTAACTATGGTTCAAGGCAATGTTATAGCGATTTAACTAAATCTTTGTTATTTGAAATTAGCCCTCTTAGTGAGTTTTTGTACAGAGTAAAAGATTTACAACATACAATGCATTCTTCTTCGCAAAAACCTATCAGATTATATAAGATGGAAAGAGTAAAGTGATCCCAGTGTTGTCATTATGTTTTTTCTCGCTCATGCCTTAAAAATTAGTAAATAAAATAATCTATTTCTCCAGCTGCAGCATTTTTACACAAACTTGTGACATTGTGTTCGTGAATTTCAACTTGAGCGTTTTATTTGCAAAAGTTAGAGGGATGATTATAAATATTCGTACTTATAACGTCACAACGCTTCTCTAAAACAGATTGTCCAAGGCAATTATGTTTTCTTAAATGTCAATGGCCGAGTGCTACCTAATGGGTAGCATTTCGAATAGTGGATCGGATGTTTTGTAGTTCGCGTCGTGTTACCGCCCAAAACAATTCGCGCTCCATACTTTTTGGCTGCGGATGCCATATAAAAGTGACGATCAAATCATACTATTCAATTAGAGTAGCCGACAAGTTGGCGATGGGTGGTGTTCAGTAACTGCCTTCCCTATAGTAAATCACTTCAATATTAAGGACAACTAGCGCAGACAGCTCTTAAGTAAAAATATACTAACATCTAGCTTTGTTTGATGTTTCACAAAGCAAAAACAAACTCAAATGTAAGCCAACTGTTTTGAGTATTTCCACAATGTTACGTTCGCCACTAGATGGTGCCGCTGTTCAATAACAACAGTATTGCATGAAAGATGGCGAAAGCGAGGAAGGTAATGTCAGTAATCTCTCAAACAATTATATTCACGTCATTTTTCTTATTTGTCTCACCAAAAGAACCAGAAAGTAAGCAATATTCAATTTTTAAAAACAAAATGATCTTTCTTAAAGAGTAAATACAAAGTTAATAAGTTTTAAATTTAAATAATCAATAAGTACTAAGTTACGGTAAGGTTGTTATGATAGTTGTACCACTACCAGTATCATCTACTACTGAGTACTAGTGCTATCGAAGTTCAGTCAGCTTGAAAAATTTTGGTTAGTTCTAAATTCATCTATCAAGCTAAAAATACGAAATAATCCTTATTAATATTATGTTTACAAACATCTATGCTTGTTCAACCAGGATAATCTCCTGTGTTCCATTTGGGCTGTTTAGTGTTACTTGGCACATACCTCTCCTTTTAGGGTTTCTGCCATTGTATGTTTCTACCTTGAAACCCTTCTTTATCTAGGGACCACTTTCCTACCACCCTTACTGGATGGCTCAGCCAACACCTCTGGTTGGTGTATTCTTCCCTGGATGTTGATTCCCACAGGCTTTTTCACATTCTATCTGTCTCACTAACCTGTGTCTCATTTTCACAAACCCTTATGTGAGGTCTTTTAAGCTGATGTGTGGATGACTCCTCACACATTCTTCTCACATTATCTTCATCATCTGGCTATTTTGTCTTCTGTAGGAATTTGACTCCCTTTGGTTGCTAATCTTCAATCTATGCACCAACTTTGAAAAGGTTAAATAAATTTTCTTTTTCAACATCCCTTTCTTCTTTACAGGATCCTGCCAGATGGCTGGTTTTGCCTCCCAAGGTATGCTTATTTCTCTAAATCTGCATTGGGCCAGGAGTAACAGAAAGAACTCAACTCTTTTGCCCTGGCTATAAAAATGCCTATGTTGAGAGTGTGTTCTGCAGGACCTAGAGGTATTACAGTCTAGTCAATGTTGAGAGTGTGTTCTGCAGGACCTAGAGGTATTACAGTCTAGTCAATGTTGAGAGTGTGTTCTGCAGGACCTAGAGGTATTACAGTCTAGTCAATGTTGAGAGTGTGTTCTGCAGGACCTTTGGAAAGTAGGGTAGTGATGGCACTGTCTGTGTAGTCCTCAAGCTGCTAGTGTTCCCTTTTTCTACAGCTAGAGTCTGTCCAGTTGAGATGAACTCCATACAGTCTGATTGTACTCTAACCACACTACACTTCTTGGCTTGTGTGCAGGTACTCTATGGTCATATTTAATTTTTGCTTATCCCTGTGACATTTTGGGCTCTTTGTTTCCTTTCCCCGTGTTTCCTTCAGGGCAAAAAGTATACCCTTATTGAGACAAGATATGGTCTTCCATGGGTGTGCTCCTATGGAGCCCCTGCCATTGTTTGTCACACTGAACAGGCTTCATTCAGGCACTTTCTATGAGGAGCTTATCTAGGTTTAATGTTTGCACCAGTCTCTCCACTATTTCAATGTGGGATTCTAGCTATTCTGTGTGTTTAGGTGAGGTATTGTCTTGGAAGTTAACATTTTCCTCACCTGAAAATTCATTTCTGAAAAATACCCCTACACACCTTCCCACCTGTCCTCCCCACCCATTTCTGGTGAACTTCTGTCTCTTGCCTCATCTGAGAATGAAGTTATTTCAAGCACAAGTGCTTAAGAACACTTACTGCACAAAAAGTTTTGTCATCCCTCTATTAGTGGAGAGCTATCGATGCATGATGTTATCATATACTAATGCAGTTCATGTTAAACATGATTTTTAGGTGGGAGTTAGCTCAAGACTAGTGTCATGCAAATATCATTGGCAAATGTGCAAGGGATCAAGCTATAATGTGTGTAAAGATGAGTACTGAAAATACATTTTCAGATAAGGAAAATGTTATGTTTTGAGATTTTTGTGACAAATGAAATACTTTAGGTTCTTATTGTATAGAGAGTTCAGTGTGGTCTTTAAAACTACTTGTAGATTATAGTAGCTTTACTAGTATAGAGAGTTCAGTGTGGTCTTTAAAACTACTTGTAGATTATAGTAGCTTTACTAGTATAGAGAGTTCAGTGTGGTCTTCAAAACTACTTGTATATTATAGTAGCTTTACTGGTATAGAGAGTTCAGTATGGTCCTTAAAACTACTTGTATATTATAGTAGCTTTACTTGTATACAGAGTTCAATGTGGTCTTCAAAACTACTTGTAGATTATAGTAGCTTTACTTGTATAGAGAGTTTATGTGGTATTCAAAACTACTTGTAGATTATAGTAGCTTTACTTGTATAGAGAGCTCAGTGTGGTCTTCAAAACTACTAGTATATTATAGTAGCTTTACTGGTATAGAGAGTTCAGTGTGGTCTTCAAAACTATATTTAGAGATCGCAGTGTGATTAGCTTAATTTTATGTCATAGTTTTGGCAAACTTTGCAAAGACTTATTACTCCAGTTCTAGTTTTCGTTTTGTTGAGTTTAATTCTGGTAATCTCAGTTATCCATCTAAAGAGTCAGCGTAAAATAATTTTCACAAGAAGTAAACAGTTTTATGGTTTTCCAGATATTTCATTAAGAACGAGATTTTCAACTGTAGAAGATTATCATCATGGATTTCTTCTTCTGGTAAATAGTGTAAAAATTTACTCTTTTTAATTTATAGGGCACCGGTATGAAGCTGTGGAACATCACAAGTTCTCACACGATTCTCCATTGTTTATGTTTAAAAGAGAAGTTGAATCAAAGAAGTCATTACCAACAAAAAAAGCCATTATCAAACCAAAGCTGACATTTTCAAAAAATGAAAGTGACACAGATGTAAAGGATCCAGCTAGATATAAGGTTAATAACAAAACCACAAACACTACTGTGGGTCCAGACATCACTAAATACACTGTAAGTACTGCTTCTAAGTGTTTGGAAATATAGGGCTTGTCCCAGTTGGTTCAAAAATTATGTATTTTTATTTATACAGAGATATAGTAAGGAAGTGAGTAGAAATTAGTATGTCTCACTTTTTGTGTATACCTTGAAAGATGTACTAGGATTAATATGACTGAAAAATAGTACATTGTATACCTGAGTATCATATAGCAGCAAGACTGAGAAATAGTACATAGTATACCTGAGTATCGTATAGCAGCAAGACTGAGAAATAGTACATAGTATACCCGAGTATCATATAGCAGTAAGACTGAAAAATAGTGCATAGTCTACCT